GGTCGGAGCCGGCGCGGGGCTGCAGGCGAGGATGGAGGCGGACCTGGGCTCGGCCTCGTCGGCCTCTTCACTACGAGCCCTGGCGCAGCTGTTGGCGTCCCCGCAGGGGGACGCCGCGGACGTCGACTGCGACGATGGGGTGAGGCCCGGACACGCACGTTACGCGGCCGGCGGGGCCGGGGCTTTTCCACGGCCGGGAGTGGCCTTGACCTGGCGGCTGCGAGCTCCGCGCTCCGCACCTCACGTGCCTTGAAGCGCTCGTTGCGGCTCCAGGGCGCGGTGTGTGCCCTGGGCCGCCCGCTCGTGCCGCACGGCGGAGCGGCGCCACAAGGCGACACCTTCGTGTCAGCGGCCCCGCCGTCGCCGGCCCACTGCTCCCCCGCCCTGCTTCACTTATGTCTGCACCTGAGTTAATGCTTGCAGCAAGAGCTAAAAACAGCCTGCAGGGCTGTGTAATAGGAGCTATGTTACCAGGTGTGCAGTAGGGCTGTGCAAATCTTCAGTCCCTGATTTGATTCGGTGGAGATTCGGCTCAATTCGGTGGCCAAATCTCCAAATCCGAATCGAATCAGAGGATCTTTTAATCTCTGCAGATCAAATTGGAAACCTCCAAATTGATTCAGAAAGATTCCGGAAGTGGACCAGAAGCATTTCCGGTTCACTTCCAGGTCTGCCGGGGAGCGCACTGGGGGTTCTGTCCCCCTCACCGCAGCGGCTCAGTGACTGGTGCCTCCTGGGTCTGGGGGGGGCACCTGGGGTCTCCCTGTGCCCCTATGGCCAATTGCCGACCCAGGGAGGCACCGGGGTGGGGCCCAGCGTGCTCCCCAGCAGACCTGGAAGTGGACCAGAAGTACTGCCAGTCCACTTCCAGGTTTGCCGCCAAGCATGTGGAGGGCCTCCCGGCACGCTTGTGGGATGCTCCATCTGCTCCAGCATTGCAGCGTTCACAAGCCACGCTGGTACCTTGAGGTATGTAGAAACAACTTTTAAAGCTGTGTCTATGTCCGAATTGCTGATTCTCTGAATCAGCATTGAGTCTTCAGATTGGGATTCAGCCAAATCGAATCAGGGACAGTGATTTGAATAGATGAATCAAATCACTGTCCCTGATTTGGGCCGAATCCTAATCGAATAAGGCCTGATTTGCACACCCCTAGTGTGCACCAATAAAGATTTTTTTGGCCAATACCAATGGCCGATTATTAACCAGCAGTATCAGCCGATACCAATCCAATAGCCGATATGCAACCCAGCAGCTTGGACAGCAGCATCCGGCCAGTAAGTCTGTTGCGGGGAAGGAGCATGGAGGAGGCAAGGGGACAGGGGGCAGATCAAGGCGCCTACAGTGAGGGAGGGAGTCGGGCAAGGGCAGGCACTGCCCAGCCAGCACAGAGCAGGGCATGGGATGGAGCTCGTCCAGAGGGTATGGGGGGCTCGGTGGCTCCCCATCACTGCGGTTGCCCCTGGGGGAGGCATGTGGGGCATATGCCCCCTGGATTTGTGCACAGGGCAAGTGTGGGCTCAGGGCCAGGGGCTGCACCAGCCTCTTCCCAGCAGGGAGGTGGGCTGTGGGCAGGGCATGGAAAGCAGTGGTGGCGCTGGAGGGGGGGGTGATGGGGAATTTTGGGGTGTCTGTAGCCCACCCTGTAGCCACCCCTCCAGTGCTGCTGCTGCCCACCGCACTCCTGCCCACAGCCCCTGGCCCCGAGCCCACAGTGGGAAGCCCATCTTCACCCCCATACAAATCCGGGGGGCACATGCCCCCCATGCCTCTTCCAGGGTGTGCGCAGTAGGGTTGTGCAAAATTTTGCTGGCTGTTTCGTTTCAACGCTGTTTCAACTTGTTTTGAGCTCGAAACAGCAAAATCTAAATGAAACAAAAGGCTTCAAAACAGCCTCAAAACAAAATGAGGGCTCTCAAAATGTTTTGAAAGTTTCGAAACCTTTCGAGTTTTGAAGCTGAAGCCAGGCTTGCTTGCAGGGAAACAGAAAGTAAGGAGAGGGTAGGGGTAGAGGTGGGAAGGGATGCTCTGATATTGACTATGTAGCTGGCCAGTGACTGTGATCCTTCCCTGAGGTCACTTCCAATCCCAGTGCTCTGGGGGAGGAATGGAAAAACAGCATAAAAGCAGCCTTGTTTGAACTGAGCTGCTTTCTGCCTTGGGGTCAGTTACTGAGCTGTATCTTCCAGCAGCTCAGCAGCATCAGGCAACAAAGGCAGGCTATCATTCATTTCCCACTTGCTGGCCCAGCAAATGGGATTCATCAATAACTTTTCTTTCTATACCATTTTATTTTATTATATTCATTGATTCCTTTCAATTTATTCCTCCCCAAAAATCCTCTTTTTGTTTTTGATAGTCTATTTTGATTCTTTTTCCCCCAGAAAAGAAATCTGTACTTGCTCTCACAGTGTGCATTCCATTCACTGTACAGGGAAGCACAGCATATACTGCATATTATAGAATTTATAGAATAAATAATATAGAATTTATACAAGAACACATACATACATTTACATATTTTATTTCTTACACAAATATATAAATACATACATACATTACATAAATACACATACATATACAATTATCTACATATATTACATAAATCAGATTACATTACAGAAGAACACACAGATTTTCCAGCAACCCAAGGCAAAGACACTATGAAACACACCATGATGCGTGCTGCAAAGGCAGCTGGCAAGGCTTCAGGGAAGGGCAGAAGAAGGGGCTGAGGAAGAGCTGTAAGTTCCATCCCCCCCAAACTGAGATGCACCCTCGTTGCTACAACAAGCAGGCATGAGGCTTCCACTAATTCTACAGGCAGCAAGGAAAGGGGAGCAGTGCCACTGCCTGCGCCTGAGTCTGCATCCCCTCCGAGTGTGCCAGCCATAACCCACCTGTAACAGGGAACCCTAGCCCTGTTATCAAGAAACAGGGCAGCCCCTTTAAATCCAGAACCTTCTGGGTGCAGTCGACTGGTCAAGCAGGGGTTAAGGATTGAGCCCTGCCAGCTGGTCAGGTGACAGGAATGGGAAGGCCAAAACCATATAAACGCAAGTGGAGAAGGCCAGGGAGGCAGCAGAGAGAGTATGCCAATGACTATGGGAGTAGCTGCAGCAGCAGCAGCAGCAGCCTCCTTGGGAAGAATACACCACTGTGAGAGAAGCATAATTACATGTAAGGAGGCACTTTATGTCTCTTATTTTTTTAAAATTTTCATTATATGGCCATAGGAGCCTATGATTTATGTTTAATGTTAAAATGTTGGTGGTTTGTGACTGAGGCTGTAGGGGAGGAGGAAGAGGCCTCATTAGCAATGAGGGGTGCTGGGATAGAGGGCTCACACTAGGGGTGCAGCACTAGGGCCATGAGCCCAAAGTCACTTGAAGCCAGGTCCAGGTGGGTAGGCTTAGGCAAAAGGCCTGAACTACAGAAAGAGGGGCAAAGCTGGAGGGGGCTGAGGCCCCAACAGCCTGATGCTGTAGGGGCGCAGTGTAGAAGGGCCAATAGGCCTGATGTTGTGGAGAGCATGGAATGGAGGGTCTTGAGCTTGAGTGGGTTAAAGGGCTGGAGCTTCAGAGTGGGTTTTGACTGACAGGCCTAGCTAGAGAGAGAGGGAGTAAGCCCACAGTGGCTGAGAACCCAACATAAAGAGAAATTTATAAAACATCTGTTGACTATCTGTGAGGCACGGGGTGTTAGCAAATAAAAACCTAGGATTCTGGACTAGCCCAGGGATTAACACAACACTTTGTTCAATGAGTGACAAAAAGGCTTTTTTTACTAAAAAGTATTTAAAATCAAGTCAAGTGATTCCCAAACCAAATCAAAGTCCAGTAATTAGCTATAAGGTGATGATTTCTCACCAAACAGGCAACAAAGAGGCAGTCTGTTTCTCTTCAACTTCTCGAGTAAGTTGGGTGCATCAGCAGCTGGTGTCAGAGAGATTTATCAGTGTTGAAGCATGCGCGCTGTTTGCTGTTTTACTGACTTTTAATACCCTTAGCTTAATATCTTCAAAACATTCTTTTAGCTGTGTAAATCAAGAGAGAGTCCCAAGCAGTAATTGATGGGGAAAATTCTGTTAATTAACCTGCTCATTACTGGTTATCAGAAATTTCTAATTTGAATGAATTGCTTTCTTCAGTAACAAGAGGTTATCCAGTTTGGAACATAACAAGAAACTGATTAACAGCCAGGAAAAACATACATGTCCTTAGACTAAATCAGGAGGAGATATCTATCACATATGGAAAATGTCTCTTCCTGCACATAAACATGTGTTAATCACAAAAGAAATATTTACCATACTAATTAATCAAGGATAGACATGTCATATGGTTACACACCAGACAACTAGGAGCAGGAGCCTGCCTGAAATCATCCTGAATATAGCAAGATAAGCTGAAAGAGATACCTGATTATTTTTTTTCCTCAGATGGCCTAGCCATGAACTCGCATCCTCTTGCATTATGCAGTTAGCATCAGTATTCTGTATTTTAACTTTTTTGAGTAGGCCCGAGCTTAGCATGAGTTTCAGAGTCATCACGGGGCATGTCAAGCGGAGGTAGGAACATGCATTTTTATTGCTGTTAAGGCAACAGCCCATTATCCTACAGTTGGTGAGCCTGGAGCCTCTCTGGGAACCTGTGGGTCAGCCTCCCTTTTTAGAACCAAGTAATGTCAAGTCATGGCAGGTGAGTAAGGGGGGAGGGGGGAGCTGATCCCCAGAGAAGGAAAATTCAGCAAGACTTGAGGCGGGCACACTCACTGACCTATTTAAAGAAAGAAAAATGCAGCCAAAGATGGCACCCTGTCACACCGCCCCACCACCACCATGACAACAAAAAGCAGCACCAGCATGACAGTCTCCTCTACCCCCATTTCACTTCCCATCCTGAGCCTTCCAGTGCTAGAAGAAGAGCTAGAGCTGGATCTGAGTGCCATAGCAAGGGAAGTTCTGGGGAAGGAGGGGGAGTAATCTGATGTGGTGCTCCATACCCCTCAAGTTTCTCCTAGAGCCAGGTCTCCTTCCCCATAAGGAGGATGAGCTAGAGGGTGCGGAGGCAAGTGGCTCATCT